ACTTGAACTGGACAAGTTTTGTCTTGCATGCTTAATAAGAAGGTAAATATTTTCACTAACATAAATGACAATACACGTCCCTAAAGTTGGGCACATTTGTGAAGCTTGTTTTCACAGGTGGTGTTCACAAGCAAATTTTCTCTCTCTCAAAAGTTCCACAGAGAATTAGTGTACAGAATGAACCACCTGCATCAGTACAATGGCATTATCGGTCAGAAACCTTTCAGGTGAGCTGGTATTTATTTTGAAAGTATGGTCTGTTTGTCAACAACTAAGCATACACATATAGAGAACAGAGAATCTTAATATATTTTGTGTTGACAGAAGGCACACATCAGCATTTGTTGTCTGACTGCAGCCTCCAAGCAGCAACTCCCCCTTCCCCTCCCAAGTAGTATCTATAAGATTTTCATAAAGGAAGAGGAGAGCAGATGAAGTCTTTACTTCCTTCCCAAAGTTTCAGCTAATTTCTTCAGTCTTTTCTTCAGCTCTAGAGGAAACTTCTAACCCCCCAATTTATACAAACACATTAAGCTACTTTTACAAGTTATATGCACTGTAGGCAGTGATTACAACACCCTGTTGAGTAAGTTATGCAGATTTTACCCAAAAGCCCATATTTATTAAGTGTAATTTAGAAAGCCTTTCAAACCTGATTGTAGACTAAACATAAGATAATGGAATAACAAGTTAGTATTTCGAGTTGCAGTTGCGTGAAAGATGTTTTGGTTTTGACAGCCATAAGTTCATGCAAAAGTGCAAAAAAAACAAACACCCTTAGGACTAACCAAAGAAGAAAGGAGCCGAGATGGCGGTGAGAAGGAAAAGAAGTTTACAAACAGATTGGCTTTTTCTTTTTCTGCTTGTCTTTATCCTTTGCTTCACGTTCCCGTTTGGCAAGTCGTCGCTTAAATTCATCTGGCATTTTCTCATAACAGTGTTTGCAGACAGGTTTTAGATCAATTTCGACAAACTTATCCCTTCAGAGTTAAACAAGAAAAAATAAAGGATGGAAAAGGAGAAGAGTTAGGAAGACTAACTGAAGGGAGACCTGAAGAGACAGCTGAAAGAGATGGAAAGTACTAAGTGGAGAAAGCGGAAGAAAGAGGGACCTATTTCCTTGATGCTGCTTACATGTTTTTCATGTGGTAACAGCTACACTATAGCAACATCTACACTTTGAAGAGAACCACTGATATGTGTCGAAGACATCACACTTACTTGAGGGTTAGCTTAGTGTTGCAAGTTGAACAAGCGAAACAGTTCACACACCATGCTTTATTCAGAGCAGACACAACTAGGGAGATGGGAAAAAAGAAATCATTAGTTTTACCAATAAAAAAAAAAAAGATTACGAAGATTTAAAGCTCACATATTCATGAGGTGTGAAAAACGGTCATTGATTATTGTATCAAGCATTAAAGACTGTAACAATAACACGGCCTTGTAATGTTATGCTATGGCCATGACTGGTGAAGCACATTTTAGAGTGTAATGAAGCAGGACTGTGAAGCATTGATACAGTTGTCTCTGAGGCAAGACCAGCTTAACCTATTTCTGCCTCCTATTTTTTGCTTCCACTTCATCTCATATCCAGCTGATCTCAGGAAATGCTTCTGGGAGGCCAAGTTCCAACTTAATCAAAAATGCTTCCAGCTGAAGTGCAATCCAGCAAAATTGTGTTTATATTTTCATTCAGTTTTATTTCTCAGATTCAGTTCAGACTGCACTGCAATCAGCAGTTGCACTTGCCCAGCAGAAGAAAATAATGTGAAGCCAGCAGCCAGACTGCTGGTAAATCAGCCGTACCAAGGTGAAAAAAAACAGACTCTTATTCTTTGCTTTGAAGAGAAAGTAACTATTTTCTAGTTGTTCTGTAGGTAAATCCATTTCCTGCTCTTTCTCTTTCAGTACAGCTTTCCAGTTTCCCTGTCAAAATTTTCTTAAGTTAGAAAATGCCAGACAATATTTTTCTTATAATGTTTTTGTCACTCAATCTCTCCATGTTTTTCTCACAGTATTTTGTCAACAACAAGGAGAACCAAAGCATTGTCATGCAGAGGGTTTTTTTCTGCACTATGGGGCAAGCATGTCCACAGATACACAGTTATTCCACTGCTTTCCAGAGTAATACTGGACAGGTGAAAGTCTTTCCCCCAAGTACTGCTCCCTCAGTAATGCAGTCATAGACAACCTTCTGAAAAACTGCTGCTGCTATTTGTTTCACCTGACAAAGAACAATACTGGATACCAAATTTGTGACATCTGATTCAAAATTTGTGTGCAGAAATGAAAGAAGAAATGTAATTGAAGACATACACTGAAAATAATGAAATTAGTGTGTATTATTTTCAGTTCAGAGACCAAAACTTGAAATATCGGTGTCGGACTATATGGTGAAAAGTTAGAATCATACAGAGATGTAGTTATCAGAAAAGTTCCATTCCTGCTCATTCCAGTAGAATTTTCCTGAAAATGAGGACTCCTTCCTCTAAGGCATTTTGGATTGTCATTCTGTAGGCATAGTGCAGTCCAGAAAATGTAGGGAAAGCACATATACAGAATGTATGTTCTACATACTATACCTATGAGTATGTTCTACTATGTCTATAGTTACCTGACTATAAACTAACTTATGTCTCTTTTTGAATGTTAGAAGCTTTCTCCTACTATTTGCTAATACCTTTGGCTTAGATGAGGCTAACATAGTATTTACTTTGGACAGGGTAAACAGGCACATAATGTCACATTACTTCAGGTAGAATAATTTGCTTTTGGCATTTTATCAGAGCTAATTATCAAAAAAAAAACCCCTCAAAGCCACCCCCTTCTCCCAAAAAACCAATCAAACAATAACAAAACAAACAAATTACTTGTAGTTCTGCCTTTACAGGCCTATGCCTTTCAGGATCGAAATATTTTTTTCAAATTTGGCTCATGATCCACAAACTCATTTGTGGAGATGTCTGTATGCTCCTTCTCACCCTTGCATATGTTCTTTTTTGAAGGTGGTGTGTCAGGAAGCCATTTCTGAGCATCTTCCAGCATCCCTGGCCTCTTCATGTCACTAAGGGGTGACATGGCCATGGGGTGGTCTTCTATCATCATGAAATGATGTTAGGTTTTCCTACTATTCGGTCTCTGACTAATTTGCTCTAATTTAATTTCTGGTCAAGAGTACATCTGGTTTTGTGTTAATGAAAACTGGGCTGCTTCCCCCTTACTTTCAATTTTAAAGAGAACTTCCATCAAAAAGGAACATTAAGAAAACAGAAAAGTGCTTACCATCTCCTTCAATCACACGGTTGCAATGGAAACAAACATCACCAAATAGCTGAAGAGGAAAGAGAAGTAATATTTTTTTAATATAATGATTTTATTGAGGGTAACTTATCAAACTAGCAAAATAACTATGTTTCAGCTGATGGGCACAATCGCTTTCCTGTTTGTTCTAGTGAAATAAAGAGAATGCTGGCAAGCCTGGTTTGGTTTTCCAAGTACATTTTGCATCATCTCATCACAAAAAGCCTTGATAATATTAAAGATGAAAACATTTATCTGTCTTTGATTCTCTTTAAGTATGATTTTGTTTTGTTTCAAGATTTCTCTAATCCTGAAGATTTGAAATATAGCCGTTGGTGTCATATACATATTGTTACTAACCAGAAATGTAACATTTGGACTTATGTACATGACTGAAACAATGTATTACTGTAACTGTAAGAAAATTTTATCTTTATGAAAAAAAAAAAAAGGAAAATTTCAGACAAAAACTATTCATTCTTTTTCCAAGCTTAACATTTGTCCACAATAGAACAAGAGGTGCCATGTATTTTTTCTAACTGTGGGAAAAGACATCCACTCTCCGTACAGCTCTTGTCTGGTGTATGGACTTAGCCCATCCCAGCTGCAACACGATTACTATGAATGTCACAGCATTTACAGTCTGCAAGTGTGCCAGCACCAATCATCTGCCCTTCATCACTAATGACCAATTAAGAATCCATCTGTAATTAGCAGATGCCATACAACTCCCAAGTGTAACCCCTTCTCGTGTATTTATGTAAGCAAGGGAGGTGAATGTGACAGGACACAGATGGCTTCCAAGGAACAATATGTCCGTGCATCGCGGGGCTGGACTCCCCATCCAAGGGCGTCTGGAGAGGGGTGGTACTGCCAAATGCAACTTCTACACAGATGCAAGTGGTCACTAGAGGGTGTCTTCTGACAAATTTAGTCTTGGAAGTCTTTATCAACCTAATTACTGAGCAAGAGCACGTATCAACACACAGTGTCTTAAGAGCAGCAGCTGCAGGGAAACCCTCGCCACTCACTGGGGCTTCCAAATGCAGTGAGTGAGTGGCAAATCTTCTTTAACTTCTTAGGAGAGATTAGGTGTCATTAGCTGCTCTGATCTACAGACATGTCAAAACCCCAAACAGCCCTACTTAAGTACCACTAAGCTTGAAGAACAACTTGATATTTATTGTCCTGACCAGCCTTTGTGAAATACCTGCAGTTTTCTTTTTTAATTCCACACAGATTAATGGGGAAACCTGTATAAATTAAACACAACAGAACATGCTAGCTGCCATTACACCCAGAGGTCCCTTTAAGTATATCCATGGTTTTCCATCTCTATCTACTAAAACCAATTTTTGAGTTTACCAATTAATGCCATTTTTAAAAATATGCAACCTTACCTGATTGTAGTGGGTTTCACAATATGCCAAGCCTTTTCTCTCATAGTGACGATGACCCAGGAATGGCTTTTCACATTTTGCACAAACAAAATGCTACAAAGAAAATGACAGTACTTTTTTTTTATCTTTTGGAAGTAATGTTATTTTTTCTGTAAAGCAAACTAACCATGTCTAATACTTGAATGTGGCTGAAGTCTACTGAGCCATCAGAGTTAAAGATGAAAAGTAGAGTTAAAAATTTTGTTTCTACATTTAGACCATTGAAATATTTCTTT